TTAGAGCCATTAGGTCTGGCGTGTTTTCTACCGAGTCTACAACTGAAGACAGTAGTTTGGAAAATACTTAATACTCTGTAAACCCAAACTCATCATCATAGTAAAATGATTATGTATTATCTCCTTTTTTTCCCTAAGATCATTTTAAAGACAATTCGTCGTCTTCATTTCCTATCTCCTTCTCAAATCAGAAGATGGAGAGTTTTGTCAGATGTGTTTTTTTTTAAAAAAGAGTCAAAAGCAACAGACACATCACATTATTAGTTTTCACTTAGTTTTCAGCAACAACACCAATTGGTCTCCAGTGTAAAAAAAGCAAAAATAGAACTTTACACACAGAATAAGGACATTTTGCTTATTGTTTTCCGAAACTCTAAGAGAACGGTGCAGTTTGGGCCGAGAAAAACAACTTTGCTGTGTTTGTCAGGTGCTGTGTATGCGAACGTGCCTGGGCGTTCAGTTGCTGACCTTTATCAGATGGGCTGGACATCAGGGACTTTGGCAGGTCACACCGTCAGAGATAAATCTCTGCCTGGTATTTCTCTGCCCAAAGAAAAATTATCTTCTCATGGTACCTTAAGCTTCATCCTTATCATAACCTAATACATGTTTAATAGTTATTTCTTTAGTAATCGTTTTTTTCAATAGCCTACTGGGTTAATAGCAGATCATTTAGGAACTTTGTCAATTTCAGCGTGGCTTAAGTTTTCTAAATGAACACACTTAAAAATATGGTAGTGGTGTCCCTGTTTATTCGCTCTGATGGAAGGCTGACCTGCTCCTAGTATTCCATACGAGCTGTGTTCCCTTCCCTTCCTAAAGATGGTTTCCCATGGAGACTGTTTCCTCACTTCTAGTCACCATTTCCACCCTTTGTCTTTACTTCACATTATGGTTCCCTTTAGTCACTCAGCAAGAACGTGGCTTAACTGTGTGGCATCAGAGGGCACCAAAGGGCAGTGGAGAAACTGCCAAAATGCATCCAGGGTCCTTTATACAGAGGACAAGTTCTGTGGCAGAAAAATCCAGAGTCCACCACGAAGAAAAGCCCACACCAAACAGCAGGGTCTCAGGTGAAATCCCCAGAGAACTTGCAACAAGTTCTCTCCTGAGCTCATTCATTTCACCTTTGGGTTCCCTCTTCTTTTCTAGGCTTTTTTCTGTGCTATCTGGAAGAACCAGGTTCACGTTTCAGATCGTGGCCATAAAACAACTACAATCACAACCTCCATTACGTATTGCTCTCGGGTCATTCCCCAGCAGTCCCATGCAGAAGGCTTTCTGAGCCAACCAGGTTCCCACCTCATTGAATATAAGCCTGTACTTTTTGGAGCCCCGGTTAGCACCCCACCCGGTTCTGGGTACACAGGGAAAGCCCTACCAGGAAATGAATGGGACTGAACAAGGCAGGAAAACACACCTCATCCTCATGCCAGTCATGAATAACCCGAAGCAACTGCACTAATGCTTCAAGTATTAGGAGCAATGAAGGTGAGAAAATGAAACCAAAGGTGCCAAGCCTTCTGGGGAAACTAAATCTGAGTCTTTACTAGTCAAGTTTTTACTCGATGTGCTCAGCAAAGTGCTGACACAGACTGTTGTCCAGAAAGCTCACTGAGTCACGGTTGAAGAACAGACCTTGAACTAAAAGTGAGGAGTTCACAGGTATGACTGGGATTTTGAAGCACCCGCCCCATGTGAAGATCTACAAGCCCTTCATTCATTCACTAACTGATTAATTTCTAAACCAACTCCTTCCTGCAGTGGAGACTTTGACACCATGGGTCCCGGGCACTGCACACAACACTCTCCTTCTGTTATAAGTAATTGAATAATCACCAAAAACAAACAAAAACCCTGAGGCTCAAATAGGTGGGAAAATGCATCCAAGAGCATGCAGGCAAATCCTACCTTACCAGAGGACCAAGCCAAACCCTTTGTAAATACCTGAGAATCACAACACTTAGGTAGCATGAGACACTTCGCCAATGTGACGGTGGATCTAGGGTCACCGCATTCCTAGCACCAGGTCTTCTTGGTCAACGTCCCATCACACAGACTAAACAATGACTTCATTCACTAGCTGCACAAAAGTTTAATGAGAATTTTTCGGAGAAACACGGGAATGTTTTGCATTTTTCTTATAAACGAGCCCTTCATTTTCCAAATACATACTAAAAACTTCAAACACTATTCTTCAAAAACTAATTTTGAACTGAAACTAAAAAGTGAAGTAGTTGTTCCTCATTTCTCTCTTCTGCCTGTACCCTGTACCCTTCACGGGAGAAGCAGCATCTCCAAGCACTGCCTTGTGGTCCAGCTCCTCTGGCCACTGCCACCTGCCTGGGGTCTTCCCTGCTCTTCACATCATCACCGACAGATGTGCTGAGGCAGACGTGAGGGATGAGGAAGGAGGGAAAATTGGTGACAGGAGTCCCGGGCGACGTGGCTCAAGGCCCAGACAGACCCGGGTTTGAAGCCTATTCGTTCATTTCCCAACTATTGCCTGGGACAAGTTATTCCACCTCTGCTCCCCCCACCACCGTCCTTGGAAGTGGCGCTTATCCCAAAGGTTGGTAGGAAGATGAAATCATCAGTTCTCAGCAAGTATTGACGGTGATGGTTATTATTGCCCAGACCTGGAAGGAAAACTCTGTTGTTGCCTATGAACTATATGCTGATGGCCAAAGAAATGGAGAATGAAATGGTGAGACTTTGAGTTCTTTGATAGGTGGCAGAACTAATAATCTCCCTGGGCACACCAGTGAGACCAGAAAGATTGTTAAAATATTACAATAATTCCACACCAGATGTTAAATACCCACAAAACTGAGTCTCCAGGGTACCCCCTCCACCTGCCTTAGCCCCTCCAGCAGGATGCCACTTCCGGTCTCGCTCCCCTGAACTGGCAAAACGTGAGCACCCGGCAGGGTGACAGGTGAGCCTCAGGCGAGATGCCCTGGAAGGACCCTGCTCATGTGCCACCGGTCGGCATTCCTTCTCATTGGTCGGCTCCTGGACCATACAGGCTGTGCCCATAACTGTTTTGAATATTTGTTTGTGTTTGCAAAAATACTTTGTGCCATTCAGTCACCCTTAATACCAAAATGAAAGTCATGATATTGGATCAAGGTAAGTACTTTCAGGACTTTTGGAACAAGCATGTATTCTTCCCATCACTTGAGGATGCCGGCTCGACTCCAGCCTCCACTTCCTGCTCATCCGGACCCCGTGTTTTGAGGCACGGTCTACCTTTCTTCTTTCCGCCCTACCACCCCACCACCAATACACACTTCAGAAAAGAAACAACACTAAGCTGCAAAATCTTTGTAAGGAAGTCTAACAAAGTCGGACTTTTTCCCCATGATATCTATGTTAAGTTTTTTTAAATATCAACTATTGAGCTACTTTAATAATTTTATTTTTTACCCCCTTTTCACTTAGTGACTATTGCACTAGCCCTTACAAAGCGATATCAGTATTGATCAATTTTAACTTCACATTAGAATCCACTGGGCAGCTTTTATACAAAATACTGATGGTCACTGGTTTGAGCCCCCGTCAGGGGACAAGTCTGGGTTGCAGGTTTGATCTCCAGTCAGAGCACGTACGGAAGGCAACCAGTCAATGTTTCTCTCTCACATCAGCTATTTCTCTCCCTTCCGTTCTCCCTCCCTTCTCCTCTCTCTAAAAGTCAAAAATAAAAATTTTTAAAAATTTAAAATACTGATGCTTGGGCCCAAAACCTTATTAATCAACTAGAATGACTGGGGGTGGAGCCTGAGCAGCAGGTATACGTTTTAAAGGTCCTCAAAATGATCTAACGGGCAGCTAAGAGGTCAAACCACTGTCCTACCAACCTCTGGAGCCATCATTCAGAAATGAGGCGGAGTATTGGGACTTGCCAATGTGCACACGCGTGTGCACGCAATACCCCCCTCAGTGGTACTAACAAATATTTATTGTGAGTGAAAATACATCCAAAAGAGTGTACATCACATATATGTATTTTTAAATTATAATAGGGAAAATGACACCCAGAATCCAGGCTACCAAAACCTAAATGGAACATTCCCAAATGTACAATGCCTAGTTTATGTTCCCCAATTTAGTGCCCTAACTTCTCCCTGGCCAGATCACCACTGTCCGGGATTCTGCTTCTTTCCCTTCTTGGGAGCCTTTCTATGATTTTTTCATAGATGCCTGTACCTGTAAACAAAGTACTGTTTGCTTCTGCCTGTTGTCAGTTTTTATGACCGAATTCCTTCCTACTAGGTCTAGTCTCCTGAGACTTGCTACTTTTTTTGCTCAAAATTATGTTTTGATGAATAGCACACATTTTTCACTTCATCCTCACACACAACAACCCCCTAAGTAAGGCTTTGCAGATGAGGAAACTGAGACCCCAGGGGCCAACAGCTAGACCAGAGCCACGTTCTGACAGTGGAAGAGAGGAGTTGGAACACCGTCTGCCCATCGTAAAGCTTCGCCACTGAACGGTACCCACCAACAAGTGTGCACAGTCATAGAGAAGACGAGAACTGAAGTCACTGGATAACAAAGCTGAGAGTTCGAGACCACGAGTTATAGGAGTCCATCATGCCGGAGCTATCCGGTGTTCACTCAAGTTGCCAAAGTCTTCGGCAGAGTTGATCGGGAATTTCACATTGTGCTCTGGGATGAGCACATTGTTTATTTCACCTGCCACCGTGAGTGTTCAGAACGGATGTTCATTCTGATTTCTTTGAAACTATCAAACTCTAGCATGCTACACTGATGACCACACAAGCATGTCTGCTATAAGGCAGATATATTGCTTATGGATAAGTCCTGGCAATGCAGGCTGGTTTGGTTTGTTACCATATTCAATTACCACAAGTCTTCCACACAATCAACTGAGAGTAATAATGTGAGGCTTGATCTGATCACATCTTTTCCTAGCAATTACAATATTCAATTATCTGAGGTAAATTGAAAGGAGTAAAAAAAACAACACTTACCTTCTTTGAGAGCTAGAGGATATAATTCCCAATCAAATAGGTTGGCAGCAGATTCTGAAAATACTTAAAGCTACAGGTTCATTTCTCGGACTGACCAAAACCTTAGGATCTACCAAAATAAAATCTATTAACCAAATATTTTTTTTGGACAAAGCTAACACCATTTGTTTAGGCATTGAGTCGTTTCCACTTTCAAATAAACTTTGTTTAAAGAAAGCACAGAACAACTGTCTCAAAAACCACCAGTGATTTCTCCAAAAGACGGCAAATACGGTATTCACGGTGAAGGCCGGTGCTGCTCCTCCACCGCTGGTGTTCATGGTAGATGCACCACAAAGCACTGAAAATGTCCATGGTAAGTACGCAACCTTGCATTCCGGACCTTAGCGCTAAAAAACTATATTAGAACAGAGGTCCTGTGAAACACTGATTACAATGGAAACAGGTTAATATTCTTAAAACGTAAAGAGCTCTTAAAACGTAAAGAGGTCTTAAAAATCTATTTTGAAAAATGGGACACGTACCTAGAGAAACTAGCAACAGATCTGTAAAAGGCAAAATGCTTCAGGCCAATAAACATAATTTTTAAAAATTTCAATCCCACTTGTAATCAAAGAATTGCCCAATTTTAGAACTGTGAGCCATCAGCTTTAAAGCAATGTCCATGGTGCTGATGACACAGGCAACGGGCACTCTGGACGCCCCCAGTGGGACTATAATCGTTAAGACTTTCCTAGAGAGCAATTTGGCATCGGGAAACGTCTCTGTCAAAGTCAGAAGCCTTGTGCTCGCGATTCTCCAGAGCTTTATTTCAGCAAAGAAAGTCAATAAATTGATTACAGGTAAGACTACAGACTTTGGAATCAGACTGACCACGCTGGAGAGCAGTCTTCATTGCCTGCTGGAATGCAGAGCTTACGTAACTTCCCCGACTTCCCCCCACTGCTGTTCCTGGCCTTCAGAGCAAGAGACAGTATCAGGAGCTTGTGGATTAGTTGGGGTACCACGTGAGACTCTCTGTAATGCTCCCGAAGCTGTGTCAGGCACAAAGCAGATATTCACTCAGCTTTTGGCTGTGCATCAGGCAACTCAAAGAAGACGACGACACAGGGAGTATAGTCAGTAATATTGCAACAGGGGTGCGCGGTGCCAGGCGGGGACTGGAAATAACGGGGGGAGCGCTTTGTAAAGTACAGGATTTTCGAACCACAATGCTGTTCACCTGAAACTAATATAAAATAATACTGAATGTAAGCTGTAATTGAAAAATGTTTAGAACAGAAGGAAAAAAGAGAAAGAAGAAAGAGAGGAAGAAAAGGAAGAATGGAAAGAGAGAATACATGCTCCTTCCTCTCACATAAAGACAGAACTTAGGATGCTTTACATTTTCACATCACTTTATATACATTAACTTGTGCACCCTCACCCAGATACGTGAAACTGAGCCAGTGTTCTTCTTTTCCCCTGCAGTAATAAGGACAAACGGAGGCATTGTGCTGACCTGGGGGCAGAGTCGGGCCCAGAACCCAAGTTCTGGCCCAGCCTCTATAATTTCCTGTGCCTGCTCCACAGGTTGTAGAACATTTCTCAATGACACCCACCACTGTCCAGTTCAGAAACATCTCCCTCCCACGCCACACGTCAGGGTATGACTGCCAGTGGCATTCCCACGTGAACAATCCCTTTGCCTGTGTGTGCAAAAAAAAATAGTTTTATATGTGCATTTCAGTACGATACTAAAACTGTCCCCTGGGCTACTCATAAAATTAGGGCAGCTATACAAAAAATATTTCAGATCACATTCCCTAGTGGACAACGCCGCGATGACCCTCCTAGGGGACTGCCTGTGGCATGTCCCGTCGTGCTGAGCAACGTTTGCCACGAAACCCACACAGGCGTGTGATCGTGGATGGCGTCAGGCCGGCACAAAATCTGATCCCTCGGTGCTCCTCGGTCAGAGAAAAGATGGCCTCGTAAAGAGATTGTGTCTCCATATTTTGCATGTTGTGATCAACAATATCCCATTTGGCGGAGGAGGAGCAAATAAGTCTAGAAAGCACATCATTGCAATGAAAGAGACCTACACCCTCTACCATGGAATAGCAGCTAAGCCTCGTCGCAATTTCAATAATACAATTAAGTGCCTGGGATGCATTTGTCAAAACGTTTCATCTGTAAATGGAAGTGCCATTCGCGACAGGCTCATGAAGTATTAGATTTTAAGAAACATTTGACATTTTTATTTCATCTACCACCCCCATTTTTAGATCCGGAGATCAGAGATGTTAAATCACTTTCCAAAATAACAGACACCAAACCGAACAATGGTGGGAAGATTCAAGATCTGGAATCTTGAATGAGACGTGTGTTTCTATATCATCTTTCTTGTATCATTTAATAATCTACACCTAAACTATAACAATTTACATCTTGGCACTTTGAGGAAAATTAGTCCTACTGTTTTCTCATAGTAAAATGGCATAATGATTAAAAAGTAAAAATAATGCCAACATCTTAGATTGTAATGAAAATAAACTAAAATGCCCTTTGTATTAAAAAGCACTGTGTAGCCTTGGCTGGCGTAGCTCAGTGGATTGAGCGTGGGCTGCGAACCAAAGCATCGCGGGGTCAATTCCCAGTTGGGGCGCATGCCTGGGTTGCAGGCCATGGCCCCCAGCAACTGCACATTGATGTTTCTCTCTCTCTCTTTCTCCCTCCCTTCCATCTTTAAAAATAAATAAATAAAATCTTTTTTAAAAAAGCACTGTGTAAACTGTAAATATCTGTGCAAATATTGGTTATTAGTGAGGGACATTGAGTGACAGAAATTTCTCACTGTTTTCTCAAACTGCTGGATTCCACCCAGAGTTCCTAAACGGCCAGCACTGTCTTAGTTATCATCGTACCCTCAGAACCTGCCACAGGCCTGGCAGACAGAAGGCAGACAACAAATATTTGGTAAATTGATATGTTATTTTTAGAAATCACGTAGCCAGAATAAAACAGAAGAGAACATGTTCCCATTATTCACATTAACAGATGACTGGAATGCTTTTCCCGTTGCTCTCGGGGAAAGCGTCTATTTGCACTAGCGCAGGTGTTTGAATTGGGTAGAAGACAAGCAAGGCGGTGGACTGAAGCACCTTTTCCCAGCTCCGCCTCCCGAAAAACGGGAAGGAAAAAAGGTAAGATCCACACAGTCGCATGTATTTATAAACCGGTATCCGTCACCAGTGGAGGGACTGAGCAAAAGAAAACAACAGACGAAGGACTCGTGGACAGGGACAACGGCGTGGTGACTGCAGGGGGCCCTGGGGTGGGTCGAGGTGGAAAAGGTATAGGAGGGGTAAATGGTGGTGAGAAAAAACAAAAGAAAAAAGAAAAGATTCATTTTAAAACCGTTGACCAATCACACTCAAAGCTTTTCTTTGAAAGACAACTGTAATTGAACAATAAAGTAATTTTCAAAAAGAACAGCAACATAAGCATAATATTAGCAGCTCCCTATACATACGACTTGCTTTTTTCCTGTCCTCTCATTGCAACACCTCCTGTCAGTGTGGTGCCCCTCCCCCAACCCTGCAACGTTAGCCTCAGAGTAGCCCCTCCACCTGCGCTCTGTGGAAACTCAGCCCCGGAGAAAGCTGTCTGCACCGCAGCGTCTGGAAGCTGTGCGGGTGCAGTGCCCACCCCCCACCCCACCCCTGCCCCCGCCCACCCAGGGAAGGGTGGTCACTGGGAGGGCAGGAACCCCTGGTGATTCATGCCCTGAATGTTGGGTCCCCGCTGCTGAAACGCTGAGGGTGAGCCAACAGATGCCACGGTGACCGCTGGTGTCGACAGGCTCGTGACCCATCACGGCGGAGCTTCACAAACGCATCCTACAAAAAGCACATCGACGACCACACAAAATCAGTCAAAGGGAGACTTAAGAAAATGAAACCAGAGAGAGTAAAACCCCGACAGGCAGAGCTGCAGAGCAGAGCAAGAACGTGCGCTGGTGGGACTAAGATGAACACAAATAGGTGGCACTTACCTGTGCTGGGCCCAGTTTAAGTTCCCCGCATTCATTAACCCACTCGGCTGACACAGTACCGCAAGGTAAATACTATTACTAACTCCATTCCGCAAAGAAGAACCTGGGGCAGACCAGGTAGTTGATTTGCTGGGCAGCGGTGGGGCCAGGACTCAGATACAAGCCTGCTAGCTCCAGAATCTGGACTCTGAGCCACTCACTGTAAACAACCCCAGTAATTTCACAAACAACAACAAGCGTGAATGCAGACGGTGGCAAGATGCCTTGACGCAGTAATGGTTTTATTTATGAATAGTTTCAAAATATTATATTAACAGATTTGGCTAACAGCTTTAGGTGAACAGAATGTTGTTGCAACTGGGTACCTCTCTTCCTCATCCATGGCACCTGAAGATTTAGACCAACGAACTGATATCACCTAGAGTTCTATATATTTATTCTGATTTACGTTTACTTGTAGCAGAGGCCTTAAAATTTTTGTGTAGGCCTTCCTAAATGAAATATCAATTTTTAAAAAGGGGAATTAAAAGGTGATAAATGCAAAGATTTTTAAAAGGGCAGGCTAGGTTAAACAACTGGCAGCAAGAAAAATAAACCCTACACCCTATGTTTGAACTTCCAAAAAATATGTATTATGAATATTTGGTACAAGAATAAATACACTTAAATATACTAGTAACCATAGAATAAATTAGGAGGTTAATCAAAGTCTGTCTTCTAAGAAAAGCACTGCATCTGGATAGTTTTACTGAATCTGGACAAATTCTACAAAACTCTCAAGTAACAGGTAGTATATAGATAAACAGGGATCTCCGAGACCAGGGGCCAGGCAACTGCAGCATGTGCTGACCCGGCACCTGCTTTTGTTAATAAAGTTTTATTGGAACACAGCCACACCCAGTCATCTGCATGCAGGCTATGGCTGCTTTACTGCTACAAAGGCAGAGCCGAGTACTTGTGAGAGGACTAAAATACGATGTGACCCTTTACAGAAAAATTTGTCCTAAAGAAGGAAATCCAAGTGGTCAGTAAGCGTCAGCAGTGGCCAGGAAAACGCAGCACTCCTTCTGCTGTGGGGCGCATGACTGACAGTCGTCCTGGCTGCCGCGGTTGAATCCACTGTCCTGTTCGCACTGAGGCCGGGCTGCCTCCAGCCAGGGACTAAGCCAGGCAGGGCTGCTAGGCGCAGGATTGCTGCCAGGCGACAGCACAGGACTCCTGGGACAGGAGACTTTGACTAAAGGGCTCCACGTGGGGCAGGCCACGGTGTTCTTTGGAGCCTGAGAGTCTGCAGGGTCTGCCCTCATCCTTCCCCTCCCTCCCCCATGGGGTTGGACTCCAACAGGGGTCCGACAGCTCCCACCACATCCTGTGCGCTCTCCCCTGCTCTCCTCCCCGGCATCTGTCCTAATCAGCCTCCGGAACACGTCTAGTCTTGGTGTCTGCCTCTCAGCGGACCCGCACCACCCGCGGCTGCCCCGTACATTTCCTGCGTCAGAGAAACGCAAGATAAAACAGCCACACGCCACTGTTTGCTCAGATCAGCAGACTTGCTAGATTTGATCAAATCAGCTCTTGGTGACGGTGGGGAAATGGATAGTCTCATACTCGTCTGCAGTTAAATTGGTTCAGCCACGTAAGGAAGCAACTTGAGAGGTAAGTGAGTGCACACGTTAACCCAGCCATCTGGCCTCTCCATAACTGTCCCTGAGAAATGCTTGCA